TTACATACTTGTCACAAAACCATTATACCCTGATTTCCCATTTTCAATGGGTTCAGGGTATAAAAACGCATTTCAAGTATTAGAGACGTGTGGTATGGAATGTACACACATATTCGCCATATGATTACGCTCTGAAAGTTTCATTAAGTTCGTATGTCTACAAAAGAAATTATTCAACAAATAAATTCTCATAATATTGCTCACATTGCAGCGCAGCCCAAGCGCAGCCGCTGCTTACTGCGCAGTTAGCAGAGGGCAGGCTTATGCGTGCGTGTGGATGCATGTGTATGTATGTGCACATAAAAGAAGTGCAGAATAATTAGAATATCAGCTTAGAGGGTTCAGGGTATCTCCTAGTCGAGCCGTCTCGACTGTAGCCTTCTTACTTCTTTTTATCTAAAAATATGTGCTGCAAGCTTTATGTTAAATATTAGTGAAATTATGTCTAATGCACTCATGATGGAATTAATAAGTAACAAGGGGGCGGGGAGAAGGAGTGGTTTAATCGTAGAGAAAAGCATTCGAAATTCTAACTTAGTCTATCTTAGGTGTATGTAAAATTTCAACCTCCTAGCTCTATTTTTAGAATTGATGCCGATATTTCGGGCTTTTTTCCTATAGTGCAATGGAAACTTAATAACTATACAACAATGCCTTATGAACTACAAATGATAAGATATGAATAATAGCCTTACACACTCAGCAATAGAAGCACTAGATTTAAGAGTTGAAAATATGCATGAGTCTGGTTAAACAAACCCAGGCTCATAAGAATAAAGATGAATACGAAACTAAACACTATCATAACACTAACCTAAGAATACATAGACTAGACATCTAGAACAAAATATTTCCACGCCGAAAAATGTATTTCGTACATATTTGCTCAGCTCGATATTTTTTGGCGGGTTAATGAAAGATAACACGATGAAATCAGTGCTCTACAAGCACGCAAACGAAATGGTCCCGTTGTATGCGCTCTGCGTTTTTTGTCCAACTCTCTCACACTTTATCTCTCTTCTCTCTTTCTCTTTATGGGCTCTCAAATTATCAAGCTCAGCAGCGCATAAAAATTAAAATTTAGCTCTTCCTTTTGTGTGAAGAATATACCGAAATCTTAAAGGCGTTTGCCACGCTCATGCAAACAAACAGTAAGCGTTTTGATGATTATTTGTGGGAAGGGAATGAAAGCGTTGATGCGCATAAAGAATATGATTTCGCGACGGACATGTACACACACACTTGCTACATGTATGAGAATTTTTAGCCTGTGTGCGTTACTCTTGCTGCCTGTAGCAATTTTAAAGTCGACCGTTGGTTGGCCTTACGGCCTGTCATATCCACTTCATACAGATGTATGTATGTACATACATATGTATATTATTATACATAATCATGTTTATAAATTCGTGTATCGATAAAATACTATAATTATAAATAATTACAGTGGAATCCGGCTATAACGACTCCGCTTAAAGCGTCCAACTGGTTATGTCGGTTATCGGCTGGAAATTTTTCCCAGATGGAATATTTCCTCAAAATCTTCAAAAATGAGTAGTTCAATATTTCAACTATGAATGACAAAAAACTTTTTCACTTTAAATTAACGATTTAATAACGATTTCTTAAAAAGAAGTAAAAAACAAAGAAAAACAGCACCATTTGCTGTATCAAAATTATAGCCCATATTCATATTTTGGTAAAAAAAAAAAACCCTAATTCGTTGCGGATTGATGGAAAAATAATGTCAATACTTAGTCTGGCCTCCATTTGCCATAGTTAACTCAAAAATTCTCTTCCTTCTCGAAATTCTTGTCCTTTTCGAAACTTTGTCATTCATTTAGAATTTGCGTTTTAAGATATCCAACTGTCTCCAATTGGCAATTTTTGGTATACACACGTCTTGTTAGATTATCCCAGACATTTTCTATCGGGTTGAGATCTGAAAAACATAAATATGGAATGAGACTACTATCCAGAGTCTGAATATACTCTTCACTGTTCATTCGGCTCGTTACAAACTTCAATTCCCAGGTACCAAATGAAAAAAATGTTCCCCAAATCATGACGGAGCCACCTCCAAAGTCTGTCCTTGAAAAAAACATAGGATCCTTTACCAAATCATGCTAATAAGAATCAAGCCCATCAGGACCATCCAAGTTAAGCCATTAGACCATTAAGTTAAGTTAAGTCCCATCAAAAAATATGACGTGTAAGGGTAAAAATTTTTAAATATACTGTAAGCCAAAAAACGATGATTCAAACGCGCGGAGTAACGCGCGGTCGCAGTATGTCTTTCGGCAAAATCAAGTCGAGCAACCTTGTGGCGACTTAGCAACTTGGGTGGTTTGATCAGTTTAGATCTCTTTGTGATTCCTGAGCTCTTAAGTACTCGCCAAACAATCATCGCTGACATAGATTCGCCCACATGTGAGGCCAAAGCTTTACAAGCGGTTGAGCTGTTGCTGGCTTTCTTAATAATTTTGCGATTATCGTGAGCAATTAGTAACGGTTTTCGACCAGTACGTGTTCTTGATCCTTATTCTTCGGGGCTATCCAAAAAAAAATTTTAATTACACTTTGACTTCTTTTCAAAATTCGTAAAATACTCGAAATAGACTCTGCTGACTCGAAAAGTGAGAAAATACGGCCCTTTTCATAATAAGATAATTGTTTTCCCAGCGGCATCTCTTAAAAACTATCTAAATTTGCCTAATTACAATGTCTGTAAAGCCAAAAGTCTGTTCCGCAATTAAAAAACTAAAATTTGCGACAGTGGGCTATAATTATGATACACAAAAATGCAAGCGGTTCTTTCTTAGTTTTCCATAAATTGCAAAAAAATTTTGATAAAATCTACTGAACATGCTCCAGTCTATAAAGTGCTGTAAAATTTATTTTTGAAAAACCTTAAAAATGTTGTTACAACGGGCTCAAAGTTTAAGTTGCAGGGTGGGCTATAATTATGATAAGCACTGTATTTCAATGTTATGATTACGATTCAGCGATAGTCCATCGACAAGAAAAGTTATGGAACAATTAAGTTCTCATAGTAAGCCAACACTGCTGTCCGTGCGTGTTTATGCGTGCATGCCTCTGTCTGTATGTTTCTTGTGCAAGCAGAAAGACGCGAATAATTATTGAAATATCAATGCTTAGAAGGGTTCAGGGGATTTCGTAGTCGAGCAGTCTCGACTAGAGCTTTCTTACTTGTTATTATTATTATTTTATTTTTTTGGCTATACCTGATCTTCAGAGCACAACTAGTTACCAATGAAAATAGTAATTAATGAAGGGACAGTATACCGATCCACACCAAAGAAATATAAAAGATAAGTTTAATTACCAAAAGTATTGCTTGAACGATAATTTATTTAAATTTCGAAAATATTTACGTACTTTTACAATTTGTTAGTTAGATGAATTTAATAACATTTTATAGTGAGCAATAAATGTTAAACAATTTCATCCTATTCATGTTATAAATTTTACCTAAATTCATTTCAAACGGATACAAAAATGTACATTTTTCTTCCGCATAATAAATACGTTAAGTAGTGAAATTACGTGTCTTATTAATAAAAAAAAATTCATAAATGATCGGTAAGTTTATACAGATTTATCTATACAGCTTTACAAATCGTTATTTTTTCACTTCTAAAAGCAATATGTATTTTTTTCATTATTTCTCCTGCGAATATTTAAATACGATAATAGATACAGAAATTTTATGAGATTCTTATAATAAATTTGATTTTCAAATCTTGAATAGATTTTTTTTTTTTTTTAGGTTTCTTTCGAAGACATGAGAATGTAGTGGAATTGAAATAATATTCACAAAAATTAGAAAGAGTTTTATATTATATATATAAATTAAAATATGCAAATAAAAGCTACATTCATTCACAAACCCATTCACAAGTATGGAAGCTCTAGTCGAAACTGCTCGATTCGATCCCCTGAGCCCTTCGAGCAACTCATATTTAAATATAGTGGTGGATAAAGGGGTGGGTGGGTAGACTTGAACGAAAATCTGAACTCTATAAGGTAATCTACATACATTTAAAATTTGGCGACTCTAGCTCTGAAGATGTAGAAATATGAATTAATTACTGATTTTCGATATTGTTTTTAATCTATAAAAAATAACGGGACAAGTTATCGATTTTAAAGAAAAAAGTGCGCGCGTTGTAAATTTTAAGTGTCTAGCTCTTATATCGTCTGAGATCGACGTGTTCAAACATACGGACAGACTGACAAGGCTAAATCGACTCAACTCGTCGCTCTGATCAATAGTATACATATTTATTTTATGGGGTCTACCACGGCTCCTTCTTCTAAAAAAAAAAAACAATTTACCCTGATTTCCCATTTTTATTGGGATAAGGGTATAAAAACAAGGTAAGGAAAACCTAACACCATCAGTGGAGATGTGCGATGCATTCACAATGCAGATCTGAACTAAAGTATCAGCTGACAGTTATATTAAAGCTCTATCGCAATTGCGAATATCAGAATGTAATAAAGCACACACATAATCGCATTTGTACGAACATGCATTTATATAGAACTATATGTATATGCCATGCGCTCTTGTCAGATTCAATTGAAAACTTAATTTTTCTCATAGGATCAACATTTTCTACTTATGTGTGTATATACATATTTATCAATTTATCTTTTTTATATAGCTGTATACATACATACATGTATGTTCGCTATTGAATAAATTATATGAAAATGATCAGATTCATAGTCGGGTTTCAAAATAAAAATATTACGAATGCAACTATGCATATAAAATTAAACTAGCTCTAAATGATATAATAGATTTAATTTAATATTTGAAGTCCTATATGAGCAAAAATATTTTTTCACAGAGGATTTTAAAAATCTGTTTTTTTTTTTTTTTAATTTGCAAAAATGTATATATATTTATATGCTTCAATATGAGGATAAAATTGCTTAATATGTATATTGAGCATTTAAGAGCTTGACAATTGTGGTAAAAATAATTTATTTATTTAATTCAATATGTTCATGTTATTTACAACTGTTGGAGCACTAAGCAGTTACAAGAAACTCATCTTTTTTTATATAAAACTGATACCCTTTGAATAAATTTTGGTATATACATGTATCAGTTGAGATCGACTTATTTTAAAAGCTGGTGGGCTCGTTGATTGGCTACAGCTATTCTTGCTTCGTTAGATTCACCCTGCAATAAAAAATTTACAAAAAATACATATGTATAGCTTATTAGTTGTTTGATTGTATGAGTTAGAGATTAGGAAATACGATAGTAATATAAAATCAAATGAAGAATTTACTTTACATTTACTTTACAATAGGACATAATTTTGAATAATAATGAGATTCGTTGTTTATATATCGGCGAAAAGGGCGTGGTATCCAAAAATCTGTATTCGTAATCCTCTCAAAATATATACACAGTAAATCTGCTGTTTCCAGGTCTAATAGTGTTAAATTTAGGCAGAACAAAGAAAATCGATTTTTCGATTATTCTCGATAAATAAGTTATCGGATGAGCTATCGAAAAAATATGATAAACTTGTACCGCGTATGGTACTCACAAGTATGCATGCCAAATTTCAGCTCTAGTAACTTCTGAGATCGACGCACTCATACGGACGGACGGACAGGGCTATATGGACTCAGATCGTCGTGCTGATCAAGAATATATATACTCCTTCTGACCGTTACATACTTTTCACAAAACCAATTTATCCTGATTTCCCATTTTCAATGGGCTCAGGGTGTAACAAGTAAGAAAACTCTAGTCGAGAGTGCTCGACTAGATACTACCCTGAACCAAACTAATAAAAACGCACATTTAGTATGCTTAAAATTTCAATTTCGATGCATTTAAAAATATAAATGAAATAGAAAACTCATATAATTAAATATATACATATAAAATAAATTAACATCAGTTGCGCGCTCTGGGTTCGATCCTGTGATTTCTCGATCGAGCGTCACGCTGCTAGTCACATCGCCACCTCACTTTTCGAAGTTACGTTGGCAAAAATGAAATAGATTCACTGCTGCAGCGCCAGCAAAACTAAACCAAAGTAACTGCTGATGTGATTCTAAGAATGTGCTAGCTACTGCACGTGCGTTTCTTAATTGGCCAAACATTTTATTATTATACCCTGAACCCATTGAAAATGGGAAATCAGGGTATAATGGTTTTCTTGAAATGTATGTAACAGGCAGAAAGAGGCGTGGCAGACCCCATAAACTAAACTCCTCTATCGATGAACAAAAAAAAATTGTTACGTATTTTTAGGGACGTGGCACATCGAAAAATACCCTGTAATTTTCATTTTTAGAGCGTAAGCATTCATTTTATGTTACCGTTAGCTTGTTCTAAGAAGTGACCAAATGAATAATATACGACCACTAGGGGCGTGTCAATCAGCATTTGTAGTGTCAAATTGCGACATTTATATGCATGAGCCATCTATCTATATAACGGGATTTGAGCTCGCACCATAACCATGTTTGTCAAAATAACTAAAATGAACATCACCGGCCCCTTTACATAGAGCGCCACCGTCTGGCTTTTGACAATAGTAAGCTCAAGCTCGCACCTTCCCAATAAAACATCTTATATAAAATTCTTGTGTCACGGTGTTTGTTGTCAAACTCCTCCGAAACGGTTCGACCGATTCTCATAAAATTTTGTGTGTAGGTCGGGTAGGTCTGAGAATCGGCTAAATACAATTAAATACAATTAGAACGAAGAGAATCACGCTGATTCGTAGTCAACGACGTAGAGGATTGACCGACAACGTCAACAAGTACTTCGAGCATTTACATCACATTCAGTTCTTCGCCTAGAATTTCATTTTATGAGCTTAATGTTGAATGTTACGCTCATTCAAAAGTGGTCATTGGTACATTTGACAAGGAATGTCCTCACTGTTCACAAAAATTGAAGTACCGCGGGAACCATTGAACGGCCTCCCTATAGCTGATCCAGATTCTTCGCTGTTTTTGCCGTCGATTCGAAAATTCAATTCATGTTTTCCAATGAGATTGTTTGAAGCAATGGAAATAGTTAAAAATATTGCTGCAAATTTTTTTTTTTTTTTTTTTTTAATCTTTATTTGTTTATTTACAATCTATCCTTTTGGACAATCAGTAAATTGTTTGGCAAGCTTTAAAGGGGGGTTACAAAAAGTGAACATTGGCGGGGGCTAAAAGTAGCGGAATCACAATACGTATGTGTGTGGGGAACGAGGAACTATGAATTACTGGTCCGCAATGTGCGGGAGGTCTAGCGGATGGTGTCTTCTCAGTCTTCTGGTTGTGGCGCTATTGTCTAGTAGGTTGATCGCTAGAGGGTTGGATGTGCCTGTCCAGACGTGACAGGTAGTTGGTTGACAGTCTGGCCACTTTGTCCTTCACAAAAGGGACGCCAAGCACTTCGTGTAGTTCCACGTTAGTGGTGTAGATGTTGGCGTCAGAGATCAGTCGCAGGGCTTTGTTTTGGAAGCGTTGAATGAGATCACGATTGGTGGCGTTAGTGGTGCCCCAGATCGAGATTCCATATGTCCATAGGGGTTTTATAATGACCTTGTATATGAGAAGCTTTAGCCTTATTTTTAGCTTCGATTTTTTGCCTAGTAGCCAGAGGTGTTTTTTCAGTCTCTCGTCCAGCTGCTTACTTTTTGATAGCAGGTGGGGCTTCCATGTGAGTCTTCTGTCGAGAATGAGGCCGAGGTACTTTGCTGTTTCGCTTTCAGGAATAGTGGAGCCGTCTAGCTGGACGGGGGGGCAGTTTCCTCTTCTTAGTGCGAAGGTTGCGTGAGTGGATTTTTCGGCATTGACCATTATATTCCACCTAGTCAACCATGTGTTGACTAGGTCGAGCTGCCTTTGCAGTATGTTGGAAGCGATTTGTGGTGATGAGTCGCTGGCTAGAAAGGCTGTGTCATCAGCGTAGGTGGCGGTTAGCAGTCTGGCGTCCGGGACGATGGGCATGTCAGCGGTGTAGAGCGTGTAAAGCACTGGGCCCAATACGCTTCCCTGGGGGACTCCGGCTCTAACCTCTCTGATGTCGGATTTTTCGTCGCCACATTTTACGTAAAAACTTCTGCCGACAACAAAAGATTTAAGGAGCATGTAGTACGGTGCGGGAAGAGCTGCCTTGAGTTTAAAGAGCAGACCTGTGTGCCAGACTCTGTCGAAAGCCTGTTTGACGTCCAGAAACACCGCAGCGCAGTACTTCTTTTCCTCATATGCCTCCAGTATTTTCTCGACGATCCTGTGGCATTGCTCTGGTGTTCCGTGACATTCCCTGAAGCCAAACTGGTGATGGGGGATCAGACCGGCCTCTTCCAGTATTGGGCGAACTCTACGCAGAAGTAATCTCTCGACTACTTTGGAGAGTACCGCCAATAAACTTATCGGGCGATATGAGGCGAGATTAGCTCCAGGTTTCCCAGGTTTTCGGATCAGGATTATTCCGGCGCATTTACACTGGGTGGGGAAATGTCCTAACTGAAAGCATTTGTTGACTATGTTGAGTAGAAGTTCTCGACCAGACTGCGGTAGAGCTTTAATGGCAGGTACATCGACTCCATCATATCCAGGCGACTTGGATGCTTTGAGCTTGCGGATCTTTAATGACAGCTCTTCTGTGGTGACTGCGGGAATTGGGGGAGCCATCTGACAGGGAATGTCAAGGAAGTCCGCTGTCGTGTTTTCATCCTCGTTAGAGCACCTTGTAAATGGGGTGAAGGCATCGTGTAGATGGTTGGCAAATGCCGCTGCTCTTTCGCTGTCAGATCTGCACCACGTTCCATCTGCTCGCTTAACTGGGTCTTTTTTGGTCGTTGGCCTTTTGATGTTTTTAGTGATGCTCCAAAGGTCGTGTTGGGGGTGTCCTGGCTCCACTTCTTCTAGGAACTGGTTGAGGGATTGCCTTCTCAGGTAGTAGAGCAGCTCGTTGAGTGCTTTTGCAGCTCTGTTGTACTCTGTTTTGTCCCTGGGGTTACGAGAGTTGTGCCAGTTACGACGGAGGCGCCTTTTGTCGGCGACCAGAGCAGCTCTTTTATGGGATCTAGACGGAGGAGTGGCGTGAGAAACGGCGTTGTGAATTTCAATGTTGAGTTTCTCGACGGCGCAGTCCAGGTCGGCGTTGGTTGTTATTGCGAGCTCTGGATCTAAGCTGTTCTGTAACCACTGTTTGAATATCTGTATATTAGTATTACGTTTGAACAGTCTGCTACTCTTGGAGTGGGTGCAGGCAGGCATATTGACCAGTAGTTTGACAGCACTGTGGTCAGAGCACAAGTCGATTGCTTGGCCAGTGGCGATTTTGTGTTTCGGGATTCCTTTTGAAATGGCTATGTCCAGCACATCTGGGATCTTGTCACTGTCGGTGGGCCAGTAAGTAGGTTGGCCATCAGAGTGGGTGTCGAGAGAGCTTTCTATTATGCACTTGTACAGCGCTCTGCCTCTGCCTCTGCCTCTTCAATGTACCTTATACCGCTTCTTATTATGACAGCCGCTCCTCCGCGGGCAGTGCCATTTGGGTGGTTGACAGATATAACGTCGTAGCCGTTTAGGGTGAAGTAGGATTTGTGGGAAAAGTGGGTTTCAGAGACGAGGAGGATGTCCACGCTTCTAGTTTTCAGGCAGTGCTCTACCTCTGGCCTGCTTTTGCACAGTCCGTTTGCGTTCCAGATGATAATATGGAGATTTATTTGCATTGCTGGGCCACAAGTGACGTGAGCAGTTGCGTTATGGCTGCAAATTGGTCGAACAATTTCTCCATCATGGCTTCCAGTCGGTCCAGTCTGGAATTGGTTTGGGCGGGAAGAGGTGTGTGTGAGGCGTGAGGTGTACCTTGCTGTTGTGGAAATTGTTGTGTTGGCTGCTGTAGACCACGGACTTTACTGGCGTACGACATCCCGGGCACAGTAGGCTGTGAGGGGCGGTTTGAAGTTGTGGGTATGTGTCTAGGTTGTGGCGAGTGGAGCTCTTTGGCCTTCTGATAAACCTTGCAGCCTTTATAAGAGGCTGCATGGTTTTCATTGCAGAGAGCACAGCAAGGCGGGGCTTCACGACTCTTAGTGCAATCAATTGAGAGGTGATCCTGTCCGCATTTCACACATCTTGGAGGTAGCTTGCAGTAACGTTGGGAGTGGCCGAGTCCTTGGCAACGATAGCACTGCAGTACGTCCTTGCTTTTGAGCGGAGGCTCAACTTTTACAACGCATTGGCACAGGCGTGTGATGGTGAAAGCGTCCTTATTGTTGCTAGCTGGCTCTATGTTTACAAAGAACATTGACATGGGCTTTTTATTGTTACGGCTGATGGGGTTTTTGATTTCGAGCCCACGTACAGTATGTCCTTTAGTGGCTAGGTCTTCCTTAATGCTTAATGGGTCTGTGGAGTGATGGAGCCCCTTTACGACGATGCGGTAAGCTCGCTCGTCCTTCGGTTGGAAGGTTTGATAGTTGACTTTGTTGCCATTAAGATAAGCCTTAAGCTTCGAAAAACTTTCCTTATCGGGAAGATTTATCCGGACGCTGCTATCCTTGCCAGACTTATAGTCAAAATTGGTGTTGCCGATGGCCAGAGCAACGTCAGTGATCAGACCTTTAATGTCGCTAACATTCGGGATGAAGATTGGGGGCGGCTTGATCTGCTTGGCCGGTGCAGTCTGGGTGGCTGAGGTGGTTGGCAGTGGGTCCGTCGTCGTTTCCATATCGACTTCATCCAAGTCGTTATCGCTATCGTCAGAAAGGGCTGAGAACCGGTTCTCTCTGCTAAGACTGTTGACATAGTTTAAAAGCGCGGATTTGCGAAAGGGTTCTTTCCTTCTGGTTTCCCCTGGCTCCAGGCTGGAGTTGCTAGCTTCATCCTCACTCATTTCCTTGGTGTGTGGGCTCTTGGTTGAGGCTTTCTCGACCTTTGCTTGCTTGGCAGTAGAAGCACCTTTCGCTCTCTGCGCCTGTGGGATCCTGGTTGGCACTGTCTGCCAGCTTGGCTTGGAGGGCGCTGGATTGTACGACCCTGGTCGGTCCATGTTGCCCGTAGCGTGCGCCACAGGTGGCGGAAGTTTAAGCTGAACGGCTTAAATCAGTTGCAGGCGCTGTTATAATGTGCGCTTGAAAGGATGCTAAGGATACTGGTTGCGCCCGAGGGTATGCAACACTTACTGATGAAATTACGACCTTAGGGTATACTACACTTAGGTGCGCATCTCGGAATGACTAGCCAATCAGAGTGCAGTAACGGTGCTTGCTGATCGATATCAGCGAGATGCGCGTTATAAGCACTCTTCGCGTAGGTTTGTTTGCAAAAGTTTTGATCTGCTGTAAAGAAGCGGTAAATAGATATCACTTTGAACACAAGACCGGCTTTCAATAAATTGTCCGCGAGCACGTCCATTCAGTTAGACTGTCAGTTTGCTACTGATTGCTGCAAATGGTCAACAATTTGATTCTACATTCAAAATCAAAGGAAAAGTTTAACACAAAGTCGGTACATTGCTACAATGCCAATCAAACCTAAATTTTTAAAAATTTACTTTATGGGTGGGAAAACATTCCATTATTCGTTACTTCTTGCCGAGATACGAGCAAAAAAAAAAAGGCATTGCGTTAGCCGTTGCATCATCTTGCAGCTACTTTATTAGATGGATGCAGAACAGCTCATTCGGCATTCAAGCTGTCACTGAAAATTCAAAATAATCCAGATGCAGATTGTAACATTAAACAAGTACGAAAGCTCTAGTCGACACTGCTCGACTACGAGATCCCCTGAACCCTTCAAACAACTGATTTTTAAATAATTATTCGCACTTGCACACAGACACGCACACACACAGGCATACGTACGCACGCATAAACACGCATTGCCTCCAGAGGCTTGGTTTGGGAAATTAATTGTTTAATAACTTTTCTTCTGGATGGACTATTTTCATGAAACTTTCATATTATGATTATAACGTAGATTTGCATGCCAAAGCACAAGTCTCTAGTATTTGAAATACGCTTTTTACAAAGGTGATGGTGAGGGGGTGAATATAGGGGTGGAGCAGGGCCGAACATCACTTGCGTCGCCTCAACCATCCACACTACTGTTTTGCTTTTAGCTAGTAGCTAAAATGAATAACTTCATAAAAGCACAGTAACGACTAGAAAATCCCAGAAAAGAAAATCCAATTCTTAGAATATGCTAGAAGGCGCGCCTTTGTCTGTACGCATTGAATAAACGATGAATGTGTGCACATGTATAGGAAAATCGCGTTTATCTGCTACTAACTTGGAGCCGGTAACCAAAATATAACACAAGTAAAAACGTTGCAATCGGGCAAAGTACTCACTCACATCCCATCAGAAATTTAGATGCTAAGTTAAACTCTAATACTGTAGAAAATTCGGAAAATGCATTTTCCAATATGCCAGAAATCATATAAGCTGAAGAGCTAGAAAGATGAAATTTTGTATGTAGATCTGCGTCGAATACCCAAGATCATGAGCTATGGTGGATATATCTACGCTCATTTGGGGCGTGGAAAGCCGCAAAAGTTGATATCTCCTAAAGTATAATAGCTAGTAGCTTCAAATTCAGATAGTTAAGTTACTAGTAACCTCCTCTATCGATGACCCAAAAATAATTTTTACGCCCGTTAGAAGCGTGGCATATCGAAAAATACTCTGTAATTTTCACATTTTTTGAGCGTAAGCATTCAAATTTTTCAGTTAGGGTACCTCTATCACGTTCTAAGAACTGACAAAAAATGAGGTGTCTACGCCTAGTATGGGGATGGCAAATAGGAAAAACTGCATTTTCTACAGTATTAGGCGAAACTGAGCTACTAAATTGCTGATGGGATGTGAATGAGTATTCCGCAGTCGGTAACGCCTGACCGCAACGTTCTTACTTGTTGAAATATCAGTTGCTCGAAGGGTTCAGGGGATCTCGTAGTCGGGCAATTGCTTTCCAAATAAAAGTTATAAGCAAATATTAACGAAAGTACCAGTGCGTCTAACCCAAGACCAGCAGTGTATGTTAACTTCATTTGATTTTTTTTTTTTTCAGAAAGTATCATGAAAACAAATTATTTTCTCTGGAATACATATTATGCGTATTTAAAATGTAATGTACCTTGCGATTAACTCGGTCAATTTGACGGTTCTGATTTTCCAGCTCGGAGCCCATATCCAACGCCATATTCCGGAGATTACCTATCATGGTATTAACCTGGCCCATATTTTCTTCCATTTCATCTTCTCTTGCATCGTTTGTTATTCTGAGAACAAAATATAAATAATTGCATTAATTAATCTGTTATTTACAATGGAATAATTTGAAACCTTAGAAATTTTCTTCGTTTCGACGATTTACTAACTTTAAATTACATTAAATTATACAATATTTATACTCATTTTACTTTTGTGAAGTAAAATGAATATATTGGTTTTGTGCAATGTCCGTTTTGTTGTTCGTCCGTATGAACGCAGTTTATTTCGGCGCTATTGAAGCTAGAGAAATTTGGAACACATGCTCCTGTATATCTCCGATTTATAAAGTGATAAAATTTATCCAATCCGCCCACTCGGGGCGTGGAAAAACGGAAAATGCATTTTCCGATAGAAATCTGTAATTTAGTATGTAGATCCGCGTCGACCACCCAAGATCACGAGTAATGGCGGATATATCTACACCTATTGGGGCGAGGCAAATCAGATAAAACTGTATATCCTAAAGTTGTAAATCTAGAATGCTGATATAGATATAGTAATTTTTCGAATTCCGCTATATTTTAGGCACTATTGATGCTATAGAAAATTTGATGTATATACGCGAAATTGAAATTTGGTATATATACGCAGGTTGACCACCCATGTCCAACAAGCTATTATGGATATATCTCCCTAAGCGTAAGAGTTCAAATTTTCCTAATTATACCCTGAACCCATTTTCAATGGGAAATCAGGGTATAATGGTTTTGTTGGAATGTATGTAACAGGCAGAAGGAGGCGTGGCAGACCCCACAAAGTATATATATTCTTGATCAGGGCGACGAGCTGAGTTGATTTGGCCCTGTCCGTCTGTCCGTCAGTCCGTATGTATGAACGCGTCGATTTCAGAAGATATAAGAGCTATAGACTTCAATTTTTTTTTAAATGTCCGTAATTACAGCGCGCATATCAAGTTTATCATTAAAAATCGATAACTCATCCCGATCTTTTTTTATCGATAAAAACCTTATCGAAAACCAGTTATAAAATTATATCTTCTACACCTTTATTGCTAGAGTCTCAAAATTTTTAATGTATGCTTATATGCAATTTATACAATTTCGGTTTTTGTTAAAATTTACCCCCCCACCCTTAAATTCACCCCCTCACCCTCACTTTTGTAAAAAGCGTATTTCAAATACTAGAGACTTGTGCTTTGGCAAATACATGCATATCCATGTTATAATCATAATCTAAAAGTTTCATGAAGATCGTACGTCCACAAAAAAGTTATTAGTCAATTAAGTTCTCATAGTAAGCGCACCCTGCAGCCCATGCGTGTTTATGCGTGGGTGCTTGTGTGTGTGTATGTGTGTGTGTATGTGCGTGTGTGTATGCGTTTGTGTGTGTATGCGTGTGTGTGTGTGTATGTGTGTCTGTATGCGTGTGTGTCTATGTATGCCTGTGTATGCGTACGTGCGTGTGTGTGTGTGCGTGTTTCTTGTGTAAGCTGAAAGACGCGAAAAATTATTGAAATATCTATTGCTCCAAGGGTTCAGGGGATCTCGTAGTCGAGCAGTCTCGACTAGAGCTTTCTTACTTGTTTTTAGGTTACCGTTAGCTCGCTCTAAGGATTGGCCACTACTGCCACTAGGGAGTGGCAATCGGCATTTATAGTGCCCAAATTGCGACATTTACATATATGCGTGAGGCATTAAAACAAAAGCCAATTAAAAACAAGTAAGAACGTTGCAGTCGGGCGATACCGATTGCAGAAGACTCATTCACAGCCCAAACGCTGTCAACCAGAGTATATAGTGCAATTTTCAAGTCTAGTGCGCAGCAAAAAACACGGCATTTTGCCATTAAAATTGGAAAATCATCGATAGCTATTGTATTCAAATTACATACATATATAATTTATACAATTTTGATTTTTATTATATATGTATTTATATCCATACATTGGATACCGGCTTCAAGCTAACAGCAGATCAGCGCGATTTTCCTATGCTTGTGCACACACTCATCGTCTATTCTATGCGTACAGACAGAAGCGCGCCTTTTCTCACATTCTTAGAATTTCGATTGATTTCTGGACTTTCTAGCCGTTACTGTAGTTTTGTCTGATGACGCTCTCTTATTAAGCTATTCTATTTTAGCAACTGATTTCTCGATCAAAGCAGTGGCGCGGGTGCTAAGGGCGACACAAGTAATGTTAGAGTAGGGGAGGTTCGAACCTCTACTATGTTATTATTATTATTTTTTTTTCATACATATTTCGTTTTTTATAAAATAGATATTTTATTGGGAAGGTGCGAGCTTGACTGAATGGCACTTAATACTTTTCATTTTCTTAGTCGAATAATTTTATAAGTTTAAATTTGTTCTTCTTAAATAGCCCTCAAATACATATACGCAAATACATACATATGTATATATAATTATATATGTTTGCCTGCGCGCATAGCATCAAGCATTCCAGCCTTATACACGCGCTCATTTGTATGTGTGTATGTATGTACACATAAATGCGTGCTCTAGCATATTCTAAGAATCCCGTTGCGATTGATTTGTCTTTGCATTGTTTTTGAATTTCCAGCCACCACTCTGGCTTTTCTTTGCTATGTGGCGTCATAACAATAATGTGATTTCATTTTAACTACTATTGATCGAAACGACGCGGTGGTGCTGTAGGCTGAAGCGCCGGCGATCTTTATTTTGACAAACATGCTGTTTGGGTTGGGTGCGAGTTCAAATCCCGCTGAAAACAATTTTTTGTAAATTGCAAATTTTTTTATTATTTTAGCTTTTTTATATTTTATTAATTTTATAAAAATGTTTCCTTCCGTGCTATCAATGCCTATAAGCCTACTTATGTGTACATATACATAAATAGATGACTGACGCATATAAATGTCGCAATTCGGGCACTGTAAATGCCGATTGCCACGCCCCTAGTGGCCGTCGACTCCTCAATTTTAGCCAGTTCTTAGAACGAGCAACCGGTTACCTAAATGCAAAATTTGAATTCTTACGCTCAAAAAATGTGAAAATTACAGGGTATTTTTCGATATGCCACGCCCCTAAAGAGGCTTAAAAATTATTTTTGGGGCATCGATAGAGGAGGCCACCAGTAACTTAACTATCCAAATTTGAAGCTTCTAGCTCTTAAACTGTAGGAGATATAAACTTTTGCGGTTTGCCATGCCCCCTATAGGCGGACATATATCTACCATAGCTCGTTGGACTTGGGTGATCAACCCGCGTATATATACCAAATTTCAGATCTCTAGCATCAATAGTGCCTAAAATATAGCAGAATTCGAAAAATCACTATATCTTCAGGTCCGATTTGCCACGCCCCTAGTGGGCGTAGATATATAATTTTTTCACCCATCTTCATAGAATTAAAACATTAGCTTACGTGCAAGATTTCAGCATTCTAAGTTTATAACTTTAGGAGATACAGTTTTGTCCGATTTACCACGCCCCTAATGGGCGGAGATATATCCGCCATAGCTTGTGATCTTGGGTGGTCGGCGCGGACCTACATACCAAATTTCAGCTTTCTAGCTCTTCAACAAACATGATTTCTGGTATATCAGAAAATGCATTTTCCGATTTGCCACGCCCCTAGTAGGCGGATCGGGAAAATTTTAACACTTTATAAATCGGAGATATACACGAGTATGTGTTCCAAATTTCAAGTCTCTAGCTTCAATAGCGCCGAAATAGATTGCGTTCATACGGACAGACGGACAGACGGACGGACAGCAAGACGGACATTGCACAAAACCAATATACTTATTTCACTTTCGTGAATGAGTCTAACAAAAGTTTTATGCGGAGTTCCAACCACCGCAATCTACAGCCACAAGAGGTGTTGCGAATCGGCATTTGTAGCTCCCAAATAAGACATTTATCTGCGTATGCCACTAATAAATATATATAAATAAACTTAATAGATATTCATAATTCGAGAGAATCATTTTTATGAAATTTAAAACAAGTAAGAACGTTGCAGTCGGGCGATACCGATTGCAGAAGACTCATTCACAGCCCAAACGCTGTCAACCAGAGTATATAGTGCAATTTTCAAGTCTAGTGCGCAGCAAAAAACACGGCATTTTGCCATTAAAATTGGAAAATCATCGATAGCTATTGCATTCAAATTACATACATATATAATTTATACAATTTTGATTTTTATTATATATGTATTTATATCCATACATTGGATACCGGCTTCAAGCTAACAGCAGATCAGCGCGATTTTCCTATGCTTGTGCACACACTCATCGTCTATTCTATGCGTACAGACAGAAGCGCGCCTTTTCTCACATTCTTAGAATTTCGATTGATTTCTGGACTTTCTAGCCGTTACTGTAGTTTTGTCTGATGACGCTCTCTTATTAAGCTATTCTATTTTAGCAACTGATTTCTCGATCAAAGCAGTGGCGCGGGTGCTAAGGGCGACACAAGTAATGTTAGAGTAGGGGAGGTTCGAACCTATACTATGTTATTATTATTTTTTTTTTTTCATACATATTTCGTTTTTTATAAAATAGATATTTTATTGGGATGGTGCGAGCTTGACTGAATGGCACTTAATACTTTTCATTTTCTTAGTCGAATAATTTTATAAGTTTAAATTTGTTCTTCTTAAATAGCCCTCAAATACATATACGCAAATACATACATATGTATATATAATTATATATGTTTGCCTGCGCGCATAGCATCAAGCATTCCAGCCTTATACACGCGCTCATTTGTATGTGTGTATGTATGTACACATAAATGCGTGCTCTAGCATATTCTAAGAATCCCGTTGCGATTGATTTGTCTTTGCATTGTTTTTGAATTTCCAGCCACCACTCTGGCTTTTCTTTGCTATGTGGCGTCATAACAATAATGTGATTTCATTTTAACTACTATTGATCGAAACGACGCGGTGGTGCTGTAGGCTGAAGCGCCGGCGATCTTTATTTTGACAAACATGCTGTTTGGGTTGGGTGCGAGTTCAAATCCCGCTGAAAACAATTTTTTGTAAATTGCAAATTTTTGTTATTTTAGCTTTTTTATATTTTATTAATTTTATAAAAATGTTTCCTTCCGTGCTATCAATGCCTATAAGCCTACTTATGTGTACATATACATAAATAGATGACTGACGCATATAAATGTCGCAATTCGGGCACTGTAAATGCCGATTGCCACGCCCCTAGTGGCCGTCGACTCCTCAATTTTAGCCAGTTCTTAGAACCTAAATGCAAAATTTGAATTCTTACGCTCAAAAAATGTGAAAATTACAGGGTATTTTTCGATATGCCACGCCCCTAAAGAGGCTTAAAAATTATTTTTGGAGCATCGATAGAGGAGGCCACCAGTAACTTAACTATCCAAATTTGAAGCTTCTAGCTCTTAAACTGTAGGAGATATAAACTTTTGCGGTTTGCCACGCCCCCTATAGGCGGACATATATCTACCATAGCTCGTTGGACTTGGGTGATCAACCCGCGTATATATACCAAATTTCAGATCTCTAGCATCAATAGTGCCTAAAATATAGCAGAATTCGAAAAATCACTATATCTTCAGGTCCGATTTGCCACGCCCCTAGTGGGCGTAGATATATAATTTTTTCACCCATCTTCATAGAATTAAAACATTAGCTTACGTGCAAGATTTCAGCATTCTAAGTTTATAACTTTAGGAGATACAGTTTTGTCCGATTTACCACGCCCCTAATGGGCGGAGATATATCCGCCATAGCTTGTGATCTTGGGTGGTCGGCGCGGACCTACATACCAAATTTCAGCTTTCTAGCTCTTCAACAAACATGATTTCTGGTATATCGGAAAATGCATTTTCCGATTTGCCACGCCCCTAGTAGGCGGATCGGGAAAATTTTAACACTTTATAAATCGGAGATATACACGAGTATGTGTTCCAAATTTCAAGTCTCTAGCTTCAATAGCGCCGAAATAGATTGCGTTCATACGGACAGACGGACAGACGGACGGACAGCAAGACGGACATTGCACAAAACCAATATACTCATTTCACTTTCGTGAATGAGTCTAAAAATAAAAGAAGCTAAAACAACAACAAGTAAGGACGATGCAGTCGGGCTTTACCGATTGCAGAATACTCATTCACAGCCCAAACGCTGTCAACCAGAGTATATAGAGAAATTTTCAAGTCTAGTGCGCAACACTACACACACATTCGCACATTCTTAGAATTTCGATTGATTTCTAGACTTCCTAGCCGTTACTGTAGTTTTGTCTGATGGCGCTCTCTTATTAAGCTATTCTATATTAGCAACTGGCTGATCAAGAAAAGCAGTGGCGCGGCTGCTAAGGACGACGCAAATTATGTTAGAGTAGGGGAGTAGGTTCGAAACCTCTTCGATGTTTTTTTTTTTCATACATATCTTATTTTATTGGGAAGGTGTGAGCTTGAATGAATGGCACTAAATACTTTTCTTTTTCTTAGTCGAATAATTTTATAAGTTTAAATTTGTTGCTTCTTAAATAGCCCTCAAATACCTATACGGAAATACCTACATACATATGTAAATATGTATAAGTCTGCACGCATAGCATCAAGCATTCCAGCCTTATACACACGCTCATTTCTATGTGTGTATGTACACAAAAATGCGTACTCTAGCATATTCTAAGAATCTCAGTTGCGATTGATTTGCCTTTGCATTGTTTTTGAATTTCCAGCCGCTACACTGGCTTTTCTTTGCTATATGGCGTCATAACAATAATCTGATTTCGTTTTAACTACTGTTGTTCGAAACGACGTGGTTAGTTATTTTGACATGAACATGCTATTTGGCTTGGGTGCGAGTTAAAATCCCGCGGAAAACTCATTTTGTAAATTGCAAATTTTTGTTATTTTAGCTGCTTTTATATTTTTTTAATTTCATAAAAATGTTCTTTCCGTATTATGAATATCTATTAAATAGATGGCTGACGCATATAAATGCCGCGATTCGGGCACTATAGATGCTCCTAGTGGCCGTAGACTCGTCATATTTGGCCAGTTCTTAGAACGAGCAACCGGTAACCCAAATGCAAAATTTGAATGCTTACGCTCAAAATATACGAGGTTACTGGTAACTCAACTATCCAAATTTGAAGCATCTAGATCTTAAACTGTAGGAGATATAAACTTTTGCGGGTTGCCACGCCACCTATGGGTGGACATACATACATATATCTACCATAGCTCGTTGGACTTGGGTGGTCAACCCGCGTATTTATACCATATTTCAGGTCTCTAGCATCAATAGTGCCTAAAATATAGCAAAATTCGAAAAATCACTATATTTTCAGGTCCGATTGCCCACGCCCTCTAGTAGGCGTAGATATTTTTTCACCTATTTTTATAGGTTTACAACTTTAGGAGATACAGTTTTATTCGATTTGCCACGCCCCCTATGGGCGCCGATATATCCGCCATAACTCGTGGTCGGGTCGGGTGGTCGCGGATCTACATACCAAAGTTCAACTTTCTAGCTCTTCAACTAACATGATTTCTGGTATATCGGAAAATGCATTTTCCGATTTGCCACGCCCCTAGTGGGCGGATCGGGACAATATTAACACTATAAATCGGAGATAGATTGCGTTCATACGGACAGACGGACATTGTACAAAACCAATACACTCATTTCACTTTCGTGAATGAGTATAAAAACATCCTAAAAGGTTTCGAGCCTCCGCTACTCTAATATAACTTGCGTCGCTTTTAGCACCCTCGCAACTGCTCTGGTCAGCCAATAGATAAATTAGAATACCTTAATAACAGATTGTAATCTGAGTCAGATTACCTGACAAAACTACAGTAACAGTTAGAAAATCCCTGAATCAATCGAAATCCTAAAAATATGCTAAAAGTCGCGCTTCTGTCTGTACGCATAGAATACACGAGTGTACATGCACACACACACGCACACATACAGCCATACGCACGCACGCATAAACACGCATTGGCTGGTGGTTTACTATGGGAACTTAATTGTTTAATAACTTTTCTTAAGGGTGGACTATCTTCATGAAACTTTCAGATTATGAATATAACATAAATATGCATATATCTGCCAAGCACAAGTCTCTAGTTATTGAAACACGCTTTTTGCATTAAAAATTTTGTGACACTAGCTTTAAAGATATAGCAGATATGAATTTAACAAAACCTTTATACCCTGATTTCCAATTTTCATCGGGTTCAGGGTATACAAAAATATATGTATTGTATTATTATTTTCGTTTAAATTAACTTTGCCTATTCAACATACGCTGATGCGGCATTAAATTAATAAATCGTATTGCCACATTTTTTTGTGTTCATAAATGATTGGAGCCAGAGTTTCCGAAAAAGTTCAGCAGCTTCCAATAACTATAATACTCGTATTTTCCAATTTTAATTGGGTTAAGGGAATGAAAATACTGAACGAACATCAAGCAGAAAAAAAGAAAATGATACCTTCCAATATATCCGGCTTGAGCCATCATTCCGTTTCTATCATCCATTACTCTTTGCGGCTGATTGTTTACAACTTTTCCATCATCATTGCCTTTCCATGTACCGTCATCCTCTTTAAATGATTGGCTTCTGAAAAATGTAAATTTTCGATGTAATATTGGTCGGTCTTACGAATACAAATCAAATAATGTTTTGTATATCACGGTATAATGGTTTTGTGAAAAGTATGTAACAGGCAGAAGGAATCATCGCAGACCCCATAAGGTATATATATTCTTGATCAGGGCGACGAGCTGAGTTGATATAGCCCTGTCAGTCTGTCCGTCCGTCCGGGCGTTACCGACTGCGGAATACTCATTCATATCCCATCAGCAATTAAGTAGCTAAGTTTAGCGCACTACTTGGTGTAGACACCTCATTTTTGGTCAGTTCTTAAAACGAGCTAACCGGTACCCTAACTGAAAATTTGAATGCGTACGATCTAAAAAGGTGAAAATTACAGCGTATTTTTCAATTTGCCACGCTTCTAACGGGCGTAAATATTATTTGTGGGTAATCAATAGAGAATTGTTACTCAATTCCTATCAACTCAACTTCTCTATCGATGATTCAATCATATCGAAAAATACCCTGTAATTTTCACATTTTTTGAGGGTAAGGGTTCAAACTTTGTAGTTAGGGTACTGTTATCACGTTCTAAAAACTGACCAAAAATGAGGTGTCGACGCCCAGTAGGGGCGTGGCAAATCGGAAAAACCTGTATATTCTATAGTATTAGAGCGAAACTAAACTATTAAATTGTTGATGGGATGTGAATGAGTATTCCGCAGTCGTTAACGCCCGACTGCAACGTTCTTACTTGTTTAGATTATGATTATGACATGGATATGCATGCATTTGCCAAAGCACAAGTCTCTAGTATTTGAAATACGCCTTTTACAAATGTGACGGCGAGGGGGTGAATATAGGGGTGGGGGTAACTTTTGACAAAAACCGAAATTGTATAAATTACATATAAGTATACATTTAAAATTTGGACACTTTAGCTGTAAAGGTGTAGGAGATATCATTAAATAACTAGCTTTCGATAAGGTTTTTAATCGATAATATCGGGAGATATCGGGAGTAGCTATGGATATTTAGAGAAAAATTTTTCGGCTCCGTCCCAATCAACTATATACTGTCGTCCGCTTAATTTACCTGTGTGCACTATCGATTATTCTTTGCATAGTGCGTTTCATGTTTTTATACCCTGAACCCATTTTCAATGGGAAATCAGGGTATAATGGTTTTGTTGAAATGTATGTAACAGGCAGAAGGAGGCGTGGCAGACCCCACAAAGTATATATATACTTGATCAGGGCGACAAGCTGAGTTGATTTGGCCCTGTCCGTCTGTCCGTCTGTCCGTATGTATGAACGCGTCGATTTCAGAAGATATAAGAGCTAGAGACTTCAAATTTTTTTTAAAATGTCCGTAATTACAGCGCGCATATCAAGTTTATCATTAAAAATCGATAACTCATCCCGATCTTTTTTTATCGATAAAAAACCTTATCGAAAACCAGTTATAAAATTATATCTTCTACACCTTTATTGCTAGAGTCTCAAAATTTTTAATGTATGCTTATATGCAATTTATTCAATTTCGGTTTTGGATAAAATTTACCCCCCACCCTTAAATTCACCCCCTCACCCTCACTTTTGTAAAAAGCGTATTTCAAATACTAGAGACTTGTGCTTTGGCAATTACATGCATATCCATGTTATAATCATAATCTAAAAGTTTCATGAAGATCGTACGTCCACAAAAAAAGTTATTAAGCAATTAAGTTCTCATAGTAAGCGCTCACTGCCGCCCATGCGTTTTATGCTTGTGTGTGTATATGTATGTAATTGTTTGTGTATGTGTGTGTGTGTGTGTGTGTGTGTGTGTGTGTGTGTGTGTGTGTGTGTATGTATGTGTGTGTATGTATGCCTGTGTGTGCGTGCGTGTGTGTGTGTGTGTATGTATGTGCGTGTATGTATGCCTGTGTGTGCGTGCGTGTTTCTTGTGTAAGCTGAAAGACGCGAAAAATTATTGAAATAGCTATTACTCCAAGGGTTCAGGGGATCTCGTAGTCGAGTAGTCTCGACTAGAGCTTTCATACTTGTTTTTTTTTTTTTTTACAATTTGACCGATTGGGCAAAATCATTTTAGCAATTTCACTATATGTTATGTTTCTTTATTTAAAGCTTCGCAAATTTGAATTTTAATATAGAAAATTTTGTAAGAATTCAGCACATTTTTTTACTTTTCTTAATAATGGCACCTAAGCTAAAAGAGACATCGATAGCTCAGAGGAAAATTATCCTGCATTTGCATGATCAAGGCAAATTTTATGCATAAACTAGAGAGATAATGGAAAGAACCCGATTTTCTATTCGATGCTACGTACAGCGCTCCAAGGAAGCCCGCAATCTGCAAAGTTCATAAAAATACAGGAAATCCTTCGAAAGGTGCAAGTGAATCCCAAAATAACATCTACCCAGATTGCTGCTGAAGCTACAAAACAAATGCACAAGGCCAAATACAAAGTGCGTGTGGCTAGACGAAACCCGTGCATCAAAGGTGCTTATAAAAAGAAGCGTTTGGAATATTTTAGCAAGCCATCTGATTATTGAAGTCAAGGCCTGTTCTGTGATGAGTGCAAATTCAATATATTTCGATCGGATGGGCGTAAACTGCTTAGAGAATGCCGAATACTTCGTTTCACAAAAACATTATTACGCCAAGCGTTAAGCATGGTGGTTGTGGGGTGAGGGTCTGGGGTTGCATATCTGCTGCAGGTGTCCGCGAATTGGTATTTGGTGACGGTATAATGAACAAACATTTGTATCTAAGTATTTTGAGCAGAGCTTGCAAATGAGAGTAGAGCGTTTTTTTGTTTATTCTCTTTCTCGCATCATAACAAAAAAAAATTGTGTAGACACGTCTCTCTCTGTTTTCTTTAGCATCTGTTTCGCTCAGACGCAATGCGATCACTCATTCGTGTGACGCTCTCACATGAGTGTCGCGTAAAACTAACACGATTTTCCCTCACACAAAGCCTCTCAGCAAAAAACACTTTGACTAAAAAACTCAGCAGAAAATGTTTTTGCCTTCGTGTGCATGTAAATACACGCATACATACATACAAAAAGAACGCAGCAATCGCGCGTGATTACCCATACAAACGCAACTTACCGTTACTTCTTTAACTCAAGCAAACGATCAGTGTTTGACTTGAGGAAACGAAAACAGAAACAACTATCTCCCTCAGAGCGCGAGAGAGCTAAGCCAGACGCGACAAAAACAGTTTCTGTCTGAGTTTTTTTGACTGTGTCAGTGAAAGACACTTTTTTGCAGACAACGAAAAAGTGTTAACAATTATTTGCGAGCTATGATTTTGAGTGATGACCTTTAAAAATTTTTTGAAAAGCTACAACTACCAAACTTATTCACATTTTAACATGACAATGACCCCAAGCATTATGCCCATATCGTCAAAATAAGGCTGGCGTATAATACCACCTATGTGTTACCGCACCCACCACTATCTGGATAAGCGCATCTCAAAACGGGTAATAGCAAAACAAGCTGACCTAAAAAAAGCTCTTATTGAAGAATGGCAAAAAATTGGTGTAGATGTCACTCAAAAATAAATTTTATCGATGCCAAACCTATTATCAGCCATTATTAAAGTTTAAAGAATATATACCTAATGCTAATTATAATTATCAATTTTTTTCATAACATTTTTATGTTTTTATACCCTGAACCCATTGAAAATGGGAAATCAGGGTATAATGGTTTTGTGAAAATGTATGAAACGGGCAGAAGGAGGCGTGGCAGACCCCACAAAGTATATATATTCTTGATCAGCGCGACGAGCTGAGTCGATATAGCCCTGTCCGTCTGTCCGTCCGTCCGTATGAGTGCGTCGATCTCAAAAGTTATAAGAGCTAGAAAGCTGAAATTCGGTATGCATACTCGTGTGTACCATACGCAGTACGAGTTTGCTTTATTTTTTCGATAAATCGTCTGATAACTTTTTTTATCGAGAATAATCGAAAAATTGATGTTTTTTTTTGCCTAATTTGAACATTTTTAGACCTGGAGTCTTCAATTTTGCGTTGTATATAAAGCTAATCGATACAAATATTTGTAATTTACAGATTTTGGATACCACGCCCCCTTCTCCCCCAATTTGTAAAAAGCATTTCAAGTACTAGAAACTTGTGCTTTGGAATGTACACACATATTCATCATATGATTACACTCTGAAAGTTTCATTAAGATGTCTACAAAAGAAATTATTCAACAAATAAATTCTCATAATATTGCCCACACTGCAGCGCAGCCCAAGCGCAGTCGCTGCTTACTACGCAGTTAGCAGAGCGCAGGTTTATGCGTGCGTGTGGATGCATGTGTATGTATGTGTGCATAAAAAAAGTGCAGAATGATTAGAATATCAGATTAGAGGGTTCAGGGTATCTCCTAGTCGAGCAGTCTCGACTAGAGCCTTCTTACTTGTTTAATTTTTTGTTTTTGATGTGCCAATAATTTTGTTCAGCAAAATCGAGGTTTATTTTTGGTTATTGAATTTAATTTAAATCGAGGTTTATTTTTGGTTATTGAATTTAAAAAAGAAGTACGTTGAAGTTTTTCGCAATATTTTTACTGTATAATTTAATAAATACCCAATTCTATTTAGTAAATTTTTTGTTTCACTAAAAAAACGTTAAAAACAAGTACAAAGTTGCTTTAATGTTTAAAAAGTTTGCTGTGTCAATAATTTAGTTCGTCACTGTACATGCATAATCATGTTATAATCATAATCTACAAGTTTTATGAAGAAAGTACATCCACAAGAAAAGTTATTAAACAATTAAGTTCTCAAAGTGCACACTGCAGCCCATGCGTGTTTATGCAAGGCTGCTTGTGTGTATGTGTTTGTATGTTTATGCGTGTGTGTGTATATGTGTGTGTGTGTGTGTTTGTGTGTTGCAAGTTATGTGGCGGCTAGGATAGCGCGTTGCTTGCGGGACGGCTGTAAAGCATTGCTTCGCAAGCACTATGCGCTCGTCTTATTCGCTCGACTCTGCGGA